CTTGGATCATTTAGTGTTAGTACAGAACAGTAAAGATGTGGTTCTGTACATTCTTGAATATACAGAGTTGGCATGGAATTAGGATAATAATTAAGTCACAAAAGACAATAATCTCATCTGCTGCGGCAAAATTTTAAAACAGGAAATGTGAACATATTCCAGCTAAACCGTCTTTCGTAAAATGACATGCAACAGCAGGAGCATAGTTTTATGTTTGGATCTTCTTATTAAGAGAAAGATGAATCCTCTTTTGTGGTGTCAGTTTTAGAGAGGGCCTTTGCAACAGCCACAGTGATGTTAATAAATAATGCTTGTATTCAACCTTTCAGGCTGTGCACCGGCAGCAGCCCTTTGACTCATCGCTGGAAAAGCCACAGTTCCCTGGAGCCTCAGCTGAGTTTGTGGATCAGCTCGAGTTCATCCAGCCCAATGTCATCTCTGGCATCCCAGTGTACCGGGTGATGGACAGGCAAGGAAATATCATCAACCCCTCTCAAGACCCTCAGGTACAGTCAGCCTGCTTTCGGCTCTGGTTATTAAAAGTGGCAGTGTAATATCTAGGTTATTAATGGGTTGTTTTGTGTGTTTCTTCCCCGCTTAGCTCTCCAAAGAGACTGTTTTGAACTTTTACCAGAAGATGACTCTGCTGAACACAATGGACCGCATTCTTTATGAGTCTCAGAGACAGGTACATTTTTCCTCTTGCATTTCCTTGTTTAACCACGGAACAGGAAGAACACAGTAAAAGAGGGTGAATTTGTTCTTGTTATAGGGTCGGATCTCCTTCTACATGACCAACTATGGTGAGGAGGGGACACATATTGGTAGTGCTGCTGCTCTTGACCCAAGTGACATGGTCTTTGGTCAATATAGAGAAGCTGGTAAGGATCAAGCAACACGTTGTTTTAGATCATTTTACTCGACTTAGTTCCTTTTTAGATATAAAGTTACTTTTTCACGTTCATAAAACATTATTTTTTATAGTGATCAAAGAAATTTGCTTACATTAACTTTTATTTCTCCTTCTCTACATTTTTGTGATAGTTATAATGATCAGTAGCTTAGCTCTTTTACAAACAGACTGTGTAGTGATTTTAGCTCTGATCCAAGCTTATCAGGCAGTTTATTCTAAACAGGTGTGCTGGTGCATATCTGGTGACCGATGATGTTTGAGGCGAACAAAGCTTCATTCAGTCGGTGAATCACATGACATGTCTACAACACACCGATGTCAAGCTGCATCAGTCATTCAGTTCAGTCATTCAGAAAAATCAGTAGCTAAGCTAAGTCAGTCTTTATGAGTAGATCACATTTTGTAAAAACAGCATCAGACGTTCTTTACAATAAAGAATAAACACATAGAATACATGAAGACATAGAACAGTCAGATAACAAATCTGCAAAACAAAATTGCAACGCAGTACTCTTGAAAGATTAGTGAAAATACAAACTTGTATACATATAATACAATCCAGCATGCTTTACATCAAATAAAAACAAAACGTTAAAAGCCTTTAAACAGGTACATTTTAAAAACAGATTGTCAGTCATCACGTTTTCATCCCTCATTTTATTGACCCTGTCTCACCTTTTGCCCTCCTGCCACTTTACACCCTTCTAAATGTCTCACTGCTCTCTCGCCCTTTGCACTCTTAATAACTAACTGCTTTTTCACTGTCCATAAACCATCTTCACTAATGCCTATCTTCCAGTCATTTGAATCACCCCTCATACAGCCCCTTCATGCTCACTGAGTAAAATGACCATCAGTTGCCCAGGTTATCTTGTCTTGTGAGTAATGATGTTATAATTCCTATGCGGCCCCCCAGGAGTGTTGATGTACCGTGGTTTTCCTCTGGATCTGTTCATGGCTCAGTGTTATGCCAACGCTGATGACCTTGGCAAGGGTCGGCAGATGCCTGTCCACTACGGCTCCAGAGACCTGAACTTTGTCACCATCTCCTCTCCTCTGGCCACTCAGATTCCTCAAGGTGAGCTGTACACATCCAGTCTGTAAGGACATGCATACGCCTTTAAATATATACTCATGCTGGATGTGTCTGTTTCAGCGGCTGGAGCTGCATATGCAGTCAAGAGAGAAAACATGAACCGTGCTGTAATCTGTTATTTCGGAGAGGGAGCAGCCAGTGAAGGGGACGCACATGCTGGCTTCAACTTCTCTGCCACCCTCGAGTGCCCACTGATATTCTTCTGTCGAAACAACGGCTACGCCATCTCTACCCCCACCAACGAGCAGTACAGGGGAGATGGCATTGGTAAGAAGCCTTGGTGTGGTTTTCTGTATATTCAAAATTGGGATTTGCAGCTTTTTATTTGTGAACACACCTTTCATTCTTTCTCAAATTGAACAGCTGCTCGAGGTCCGGGTTACGGTATGCTGTCCATCCGCGTCGATGGCAACGATGTGTTTGCTGTGTACAACGCTACAAAGGAAGCTCGCCGCAGAGCTGTGGCTGAGAACCAGCCCTTCCTCATTGAGGCTATGACCTACAGGTTGGTTGAGTGGTTTGTGACCAAACAGCTTTTACAGACAGAAGACACATAAAGTAACTTTTAGGCATAAAGCTCATCATCCTAACTGATTGATCATGAGGTTCGGGTCATTACTGTAGTTATTACAAATGTTAGATTTTTGCATCAAACTGACAAACCTTTGTAGTCTGATGCAGAATTTCCAAAAATAAAACCGAGCTGTACAGTATTACAGAAATTACATTATTATTACATCACAGTTATTTAGGTTTGGTTTTTATCTTTCTCATGTTTTGGTAACTATACACAGAATGACCATCATGTCATTTTCAACAGAACCAACTGTGACTTCCTCCTAGAGGTCTAATGCCTGTTATAAATGAATACACTATCAGGCAGTTCGCTGAAACAAAAACATTTGGCACTACTCAATATATTAATCATTTACAAGCTACAGTATGTGTTTGAATTAGATGATCACTGTTTGGACAGACCTTTGTACAGCTTTTATCAGCTGAGCAAACAGCTACAGCAGTTAACAAAAGTAAAGCTAGAGGAGGTGGTTTGGTAGCTTGAATGTAGCATACAATTCGTTGTGGTTAAACTGCCATGTGAACAAATCAACCACAACATCTTGCACCTGCAGTTTCTTTCCGGATTACATATTATGTGAACTGGCACTGCTGTAGGTAAAGTCATGAGTACTGCACTGATTTAACGCTGCAGTCCTGTGACATCTGACTCATGATAGTGAAAAGAAAAGGATCAAAAGCAGTGCAGCAGATATTGTCCCGTCAGTAAGTACACAAACTGATAAAGAGCGATTCATTAGAAGAATCATAACCATGTAGACAATAATTTTAATTTTTGATTTAATTTTTGATTTAGTTTTTAAATTTTCAAATCATGAGATAACAACATGAGGAAAAACATGTTCACAGAAACAAGCATGTCAATCTTTTATCAATTTCACACCCAACCCCATGTGACCAAATACAGAAAAACAACCTCACCTATGGACCAGGACCTACCAGGAAGTACATACATTGACAAAGAACAAAATGTTTATCAGATAATTATATTATAGATAATAAAATAGGAGTTCCATAAGTTAGGACCTGTACATCGTACTGAAAATTGACCTCTGCTACTGAGATGTTTAGGAAGAAAAAGATTACATGACTGGTTGAGTAAGAGTGAATCGGTGAATTATACTGAAATAACACATCTGTTAGATTTGCCTCTCTAAATGGTATTGCATTTATTAAAAGCACATACTTGTAAGAAGTAATTGTAAGAAGTTGAAGTTTCTGAAGTAGAGGAGCCAGTGAGAGGACAGGATTTGAAATATCTGAATTTTTAAATTTCTTTTGAACAGGAAAAATGAAAATTTATCAATGGTTGTAGAAAATGTACTGAGCCATAAAATGTTATGAAAAGTCAACTGAAGAAAAATAATTCTGTTCATTCTTCAGAATCGGCCACCACAGCACCAGTGACGACAGCTCAGCTTACCGCTCAGTGGACGAGGTGAACTACTGGGACAAACAGGACCATCCCATCTCCAGGCTGAGACATTACATGACGACCCGCGGCTGGTGGAGCGAAGATGACGAGAGGAGCTGGAGGAAGCAGTCCCGCAAGACGGTGATGGAGGCATTCGAGAGGGCCGAGAGGCGCCTGAAGCCCAATCCCGATTTGCTGTTCACAGATGTGTACCAGGAGATGACGCCCAACCTGGACAAGCAGAGAGAATCCCTGTGGAGGCACGTGCAGCAGTACAAAGAGCACTACCCGCTGGACCTGTATGACAAATAAATTACATTCACAGGATGGAATGAGTTGTGATTTGGTGAACAAATATGGGAGTGAGTCAGGATTGAGATTGGGATAAACTGTTGCACACCTTTTACTATACATAAAGATGTAGTTTTGATATGACGTGTCAATTCTTTCTGCGCAAGGGAGAATGATTGTGCTTTCAAAAATACTTAACTTCATGCCTCTTGGTTTGGTGCCTTAAGTTAACAGATTTACTGTCACTAGCGCAGCTCTTCTATAAATGCTAAATCACACTTTTGTTTCACACTATGGTTATATACAGCAAAAAAAAAAAAAAACAGCTGGTGCAGTATGAATGCATTATGCATATAAAATAACCAAATCAAGCAATAAACTGGAAATTTACCTCCGTTGTCTATCTTCCTTCTCCTGTAGCTCTCTTCTTCAGTGATTATGGTATTTAACTGGTTTCCTTGTGTATCATTGAGATGACTGATTTCACTTTAACATATTAAAGAGCTTACCTGTTTTAATGGTTTTTGCATATACAGCCAAATATTAGATGGGTTTGTATGCTCTAAAGCTGTTACACACTACACTAACTCCCAGAACTGTACACCCACCTAACCCATGTTACATGTTTGGTGTTTTGTGAAAAATAAACTGAGGAACTTTCAATTTTCTTGATCTTTTTTTTTTTTTTTTTTTTTTTATTTAAACTCAGTAGGAAGGTGGAAATCAGGTTATTGACACAACTAAACAGTGTTGAACTTGACAGTACAACATCTTGACTACTGGCCCACCAAAAATGTTGTAAAACGTGTCCATAACATTTTAAGTTTGAAAATGTCTTCCTATGACACCCAAACCTCTTGAATCTTGAAAATGTCACAGCTGCAAATTTCTTAACACAATTGCTCTGCATTTTTTCATGCTACAATATGTCAACAATAGATGATGTAAAACACTCAACAATTCCTTCTGCTACATTATCTTGATACAGGACAATGAAAGAAACAAATAACGCCGTAGCTTCAATATGTCTGTATAGTCCATATTTACTCTTTGATCGCTACATCTTTTGCTCACCAGTCCAGTTCAACAAGTCAACAAGGGGCTGTGAATGCCCTTCCACAACTTCTTCATCTGCGGTGGCGAGCGCTGATGAATCAGGATAAGCTCTTTATGTACACACAGATTCTCACGATCCTGCTCCTTGATGTCAAAGGTCTGAAAGCCTGCATGCGCCTCAGGAGAAACTCCCAGAGCCTTAGTGCACATCCCAGTGTAGACATCATCAATGGGGAAGAAAGGAATGACACGAGAAACTGAATATAGGGGTTGCAGCAAGACTCCAGAGATAAGAAAGCCGCCTCCACCTGCATAAGCAGGATACGGGCCGTCATAGAAGCTCAGAGGGATGTAGTATTTGATGTTGGGGTCTCTGAGTGGACTTGCTGTGCTTATGACATGTCCAACATACAACTGAGATGCTTTAGAGCCCTTCAGAGACAGCAGGTAGCTGAGCAATACCGGCGTGTTGACAAATACGTCATCATCCCCACTGAAGACGAAGGAGACATGGGAACAGTGTTTCAGTGTCCACTGAAGGAACATGTTCATTTTAAGCGTCAGGTTCAAAAGGGATTCTTGGAAATCCCACTGCAAGAGGTCCCCAAAATGTTTTGCTTCAAATGACAGCAGTGGGCCGAGGTCAGGGTCATCCAGCGGGGAGTTACCCAGGAGGAATACTCTGCGCACCCTCAGTCCTCTGTGATACACCCCCTCTCGGCCCCAGGTCTCCCGCACCGCCTGTCTCCGCTCAAAGTTCCCTGGAGCTGATTTGATGGCGAACAGCAGGAAGGTCTGGTTGGCCCCCTCCCCTTCGCTGGAGATGCACTTGTTAGGTTGATTGATCAGGACTGGAGACGACCTGCAGTTCATGCCCTGCACAAAGTCCTTGAATAAGGCAGGGTAGGCCATGAAGTCGTGCACATTGGTTTGCAGAAGCTCTTGATTTGTCTCCCTGCAGCGAGACCAATGGGAGTCATGTCTGAGAGGGTCTTTCCCCTGGTCCAGACTCTTCAGGGACAAGTACAGCAGACGGTTCCAGTACGCTAGATTTTGAGGGATGGTCTGTCTGAAGCTTTCAGAAACAGACACGTTGGGGACAACAGGGTGAGGACTGGTGAAACTTTCCAGCTTGGAGGATTGTGTTTTCACATCGCTGTCTTGCACCTGGAGGCTAAGATGCCTCAGGGGGTCCTCTGGTCCAGCCTTGCGACTGTAAGTCGTCTCTAGGTGTAGGGCTGAGTATAAAATCAGAAATAAAGTGACAAGGAGAACCATAGCACTGAAGGAGTGAATGCGTCTCATTGGCTTGAGGTAAGTAAACCAAGTTGTGAGGTGTGTGGTTCCTATAAATGGATCATATTTCAGGGGAGATGGTCCTGGGACCAGGTGTGTTAGTCTTCAGGTTACACAGACTCTGTCAGCAGGTGAAACACTGGTTGTACCTGCCAACAGAAAAAAAACACCTTTACAGAAATACACACATCACAAACTTTATAGGCTTGAATAGACTTGAAACAGTGACAGCATTTAACCCAAATTGTGAATTTGTTTTTTTATTTTGCTAAACTCCACTTAAAGAGCTGACATAATGGAAGCACATTTTACTGAAAGAATACTTGTCCACCAAATTGGTCATACTGGTAGTCGTTTTGGTATAATACACGCATTAAGATATTTAAGTAAATTATGGCTTGGCTGATTTTACTCTCACTGACAATTAGTACATTTCTTAATGCTGAGAAAAAATGAGGCTCTTCAACAGGGACATTATAATGGAGTTATATGTCCTACGAACAAGAAATCGTCATTTCAATGTGGCATTGTTTGCGACATTCAGTGGAATAGTAGAGCATAAATATGCTGAAACCCCCAACACTTTGTATGATTAAAAATGATCTGCATTCAGCACTAATATGTACACTTACAGATATAATGTAGCTCTGTTGTTTCGTTTAAAGAAAAAATAAAACAAAAAACAAATCTTAACAATTTTCCGCAGGTGATGTGCTCTCTACTGGGAGGCACTTGAACACACCCTTCTCTCTAGTGTTTAATTAGCGGCAAAAAGTCTGTGCAAATAACAAAGGAGAAGAGTCCTGAGGGACCTCACTGATTAAACCGCGCCACAATAAATGAACACACCTGAGGTCTCTGAATACGGAATCATGACATGCATACGGATACCTCATATAACACCCCCTTTAAATGTATGATACGTTTTTTTATTGATTAATTGAAGTAGGATTCGATTAAAATTCGATAAACGTGCTGATTTAACACACAAACAAACCGAGTTAGAGAGACACCTGTGCAACAGGTGAGACCTTTAACCTGGAGTTAAAAAAAGATCAAGTCGGTCACAAAGATGACAATTTAATATTCAAGTTGTATAAAATACTTACTGAACCCAAGGCGAACGCACGTCGACGGAGCGCTGAAGCGACAGAGAAACAAATGAGTATCCAGGAGTCTTCCGGTCCAACTGACAGGTGAACAGGTACACACACCTGCATAGTTTTTCAACCCCCGTTATGTCCTTTGAAGTAACTTGGGCAGCGTTGTGAACACATGCAGGTGCAGGTCTGTACATGAGATCAGGTGATCAGGTGATCAGAGCAGGCAGATGTAGGCCACGCCCAGGATGATGTACTAAGACAGGTTTATTCAAACGTTTAACAGGAAACATCACTAATATACAAAGTATTTAAGACCAATTGTCTATTGACAAAAATCACCAGGATACATGAGCACAGTGTTCAGATCAGTAAAGCTCCTTTTTCTTCATTGTATTGCATCTTGTGCAGGCCTGAAAAAATGTTTTTTTTCAGCCTGTTTAGTTATGACAACAAACAAACAAATGAGACAATTTAAAAAAAAAAAAAAAAAAAACACTTGAGAAATAATCCCTATATAGTGGAAATCAGCTGTTCTGGTTCTCTCATCGGTACCAAACCATGCAAATGTTCACAAAAGTGATGAGCTTTTTTTCTCCTTCTTTTGTGGAATAAAAGCACTTTAAACGGAAGTGACAAAAACAAATTAGCTAATCAATTTATAACGCTTGATAAAAGCAATGATTTTTCAATTTATTTTTTTCATCAAATCTTAGCTGTTCAAGTCCTGAGAACTTTGCAGTATAAGGCAGAGGGGGTATTTGCCATGGAGTAACTTCCGAAACTCTTGGCCTCTCTGCTTGGAGGAGCTCCACAGCTGAGATGAAGTGCTGTTTAATTAGAGATGCCCTGATATGACCTACAGTATACTTGAGCACTCAAAGTACCAAAAGCCAATGTGACTGCTTTAGTCAATACTGGCATTTTGGTCCGTTCAGTTCAGTCTAAAGCACATTCTGGAAAATATATTTTGTAGATCGAAGTGTTAGTAAGTTGGCAACCTCTCATCCATTTTATAATAATGAAAATAAAAATAAAGCCTTTATTACGCAACTCTGCTGGTATGAGTATTTGGTATTGCAGCCCAATTATGAAAATCTTAAAATTGTGCCAATACCTGTATCATAATAATATACAACAACATACTGTGCGCAGTATGCACTCAGGAAAATAGTGTTACCTATAAAGACCATAATTTTTGGAGCATTGAGTTGAGAATATTAAAAAGGCAAGAAGAAAATACTGCAGATGGTAGGAAGGAAACACAGTATTTGTGAAGGAATATCAGGGTCTAATGGTCAAAGAGTTAAGATTGCTGCTAGAATGAAAGTGACAGGCTCAAGGCAAAACAAAGGATGCAAGTCTGTTGTAAAGGACTTGAGGACAAACACGGGGGGAAGTCAGCGGAGGTCACTCTCATCATCCTGTATGGTTTTCTTGATGCGGAGAAGCATGGTGGTGAGCCACTGGTCCAACCGTGAAATGGTGTCGTATTCCTTCACCTGAGACATGAGCAGTGAATATTATGTTAGAAAGCACCACACCAACAAGGTTGGGGTGTATGGTTTGGCATTTGTGTTCTGGTTTCTATTCCCCAGTAGAAAAACACAAAACAATCTGTTTTTTTTGTTTGTTTTTTTTATTGTATGCGCTCCTGCTTACTGACTTCATCAGTTCAGTGTCGAGAAATAATTATTAATCTTTAAGATAGAAGGAGGTTCACACTGACACATTCTGATTCACATGATTTATAGCTGAAGTTCATTGTATCTAAAGACTCTAGTCAATTAGGCAATTAGTCATTTTTGCTGGTATCCCAACACTTCACTCACAGGTAATCATGTTGGCACTAAAGCATATTGACCCAGAAACACTGTACAAAAACTGATGTCAGCCTAGGATGTTTAAAATTACTGATGCAGAAACTTCAAACAGCCTCAATTAAAAACCTTGGCTACATGCCTTTATTCTGCTGAAAGAAAACTGTCTACTCACCGAATCAGTGTAGGCTTCCACATTCTGTTCTTCATAGGCATCTAGAAGTTTCTGTTTAGATAAAAACATTTTTTTACAACAATGCTGTAGTCAAAAATACATCCTGAGGGTTACAGAAAATGCAGATAATGAGGTGGCAAAACAACAGGCTACAACACAAAGTCTATATGCCTGTAATCATTATAAAAATAATTTTTACTCCTACAGTTTAAACACCAGCATGACTTTCTTACTCCAAACAGGACTGTTGAGGGAAGGCCTTAACTGTACTAAGCTGATTGGTGCTTACATTAAGTTACTGAGGGGCATGTAGATTTTAGCAAGTTCAAGCACCTGTCATCAACAATGTTTAATGCAAACAACAAAAGAGACCAGAGTGGAAAGAAAGAGAAAGCAGCAGTCAGTCAGTTGGAAGGTTTATATCCATCAGCCTCATCTCTCTATACCTAGAGGATTATTCTGTGTTTTTGTTGAAGGATTTTAGAGCCAAAACACCACCAAAGCCTACCTTCATCAGTTTGCATTCTCTCGAGTCTGAAAAGGCTGGAAACATTTCTTCGTACTTCTGCACAGCAAGCTGGGTGACAAGAGAATGAATATTAGAGCAGTGGCTCATGTTACAATTGTTGCACGTGGAAACAAGTTCAGTGCTACGGCTTACTTTTGCGTTCAGCATGTCTACACAGAAGTGACAGAGTGCTGCCTTGAAGAAGTGATCCTTGGCACTGTATTTCAGGAGCGTACTGTCCATTGCGTGCGTTCCGACCTAAAAATCACAAAGTACAATTCAGGTGAGTTTTGTTACTGCAGCCCCTGGAAAGACTGATAACATGGTGAGATGAAGGCTGCTGGTGAGCATGATCTCACTTGTTCATAGATCTCAATAGCTTTTTGGTACTGCTCCAGCTGAGCTGCGTAGGTTGCTACTTTCAGAAGGCACTTGTTCGCTGAACTAAAAAGGAAAATCAAGAAGCTTCTCAGTTGACACATGTTCACAGAAATCAAGGGGCAAAAACCAAGTCAAGCAATGCAACTGCACGGTTATAAAACAAAGATGTAAAATGAAAACAAATGAGAACTAAATGAAAAGAAAAAATATATACATCAACCTATAAAACATCACACCCTAAGAGGAAACATTACACATTCAAAATAGTCACCTGGTGGATTCTTCCCCTTTGTAATAATCTGCTGCTTGTTCATAATGAGCAATGGCCTGCAATGGAAGTTGGACAAATTTGGACATATTAGCATTTAACAAGAGATTATTTGACGGTTTCAAACAACTGATCAGCAGTTTAACTGGAAGCAGATTAAAAGGTAAAATAATTAACAATAAACAGTTATTTAATCTGACCTTGTCGATGTCCACCAGCTCTGTCTCATATATTTCAGCAATGGTGATATGATGTTTGGCTGCGATGGTGAAGCGCCCCTAAATCCAAAAAAAAAAAAAAAAACCAGGGGAAAAAGATCAACAGGAAGCAATACATGATACATAAAAAATATCAGATGCTAAATGTTGTCAAATTCTGTCATTTAAAGAAACTAAGAAGAATCCCCCCCGTTTATAGACTCACCATGTCGGTGTAAATCTCAATAGCTCGGTTTAGGCAGTTTATGGCCTCTGTTGGAAAAAAAAACCAAAATACTTAGACAACTACATATTTTCAGATCCCATGACTGCAATACAATAAAATCAATAAAAGAAAGGCAACCAGTAGTGAGAGCTGCAAGTTTAAAGGTCCAATTAAACAATGTTCCTGTTCCTAAATGTGTCTAAAGGATGGTGACCACTGGTCTTGAAGTCATTATTTATTTATACTTTTCACCAGGGCAAAGCATTCATTAGCCCACATCCCCATTTGTTAACTGCACTGTGGGAAAAGTCATAAATAATGCTGTTAAAGCTCTTTGTCTGGAACATCTCAATGACATTATTTGACATCAGCTTTATGAACATGGTCCACTTGAATTGGTAAAGCAGTTTTAATGGGCATTACAAGTGAACCTCAGTGGTTATATATCTCAAGGGTGGTGATGAGTAATGATTACCTTGTGGATCTGCTTTTTTGAAGGCGTTTCCAGCATCTATGAAGTTAGTGGCTGCATCGTGTTTGCTCTGCATCTGCAGGTGAAGGCGAGCAGCTTGGGAGAATGCATTTCCTGCAGCTGAAAATAAAAATGTTACATGTTAGAGGATTGAAAGTCTTTCCAGACATAAACAAGGAAAGGGCAATCATCATTACCGTTTGAATGAACAAGTGTAATCATCTTACCACACCAATTTTTGGCCATTTTGTACATGTTGGCTGCCCTCACATACATGTCACACGCCTCTTCCAGCTTGGAGGAACCTCTGTAACAGCACACATGTTTAATTTAACAATGCAATAATGATTTTTAGTCATAGATATGAATAATATATGGATATTTGGGGGCATGCCACTTCACTGACAGAGACATTAACTGTTCACTAAGATAAAGACAGTCAAATAAGTTCAAAACGTTGTCTAATTTCAACTCCCAGTTGCAATTATGTGATGCAACATTATGACAAATTATTATTAATATCATGACAATGTTATCATATTATCCAGAACCAGTTACATGTACACTTGCGACTTCAAGCTTTACCACCAACTCCTTCTGCGTTTCATAACCATGTGGCTGTTGCATACATACACAACACATAAGCAGCCTCTGAGCAGGAACACGTAAGAGTTAAATAAAAACCACCTTGAATATTTTTTTTCATTGTTATATCCATGCTGGGCTGGTGGGTGGGGATGCAACTCACAAATCCGTTTACTCTGTTAATGTAAACAATTGTGATTGACATATGATTTGCACCTCACGACCGAGTGGCCTTGCTAAATTTTTCCAGGTGGTGGCGCTACAGCTGTAACACTTCAGCCAATACCCAAAATTAAATGGTACACAATTTCTCTTTTATTATAGGCTCATCCACTCCTGACATAATGAAGCCACCCTCAAACAGACGTTGCAGCAGCTGACACTGAGGTCCGGTTACTGCGGCATGCAGGTTTATTTCAGTTATTTTCAGATATGCGTTCTGCAGTGATCCGAGGGAAGATAATGCTGCGTATGTTGCTCAACTTCACCGCTGGCCACACTTACATAACACTGGTCAC